AGAATAGTCCTATGAAGAGTGGCTGAGGGCACTGGGGTTATTTAGGCTGGAGAAGAGGAGGCTCAGAGGAGACCTTATCGCTCTCTACAACTACCTGAGAGGAGGTGAAGCAAGGAGGGTGTCTGTCTCTTCTCCCGAATAACAAGCAATAGCACAAGAGGAAACAACCTCAAGTTGCACCAGGGAGAGGTTTAGGTGGAATATTAGGAAAAATTTCTTCACTAAAAGGCTTGTCAGGCACTGGAACAAGCAGTCAAGGAGATACTTCAGACGTGTAGGTGTGTTGCTTAGGGATATAGTTTAGTGTTGGACATGGCAGTGCCAGGTTAACTGTTGGACCTGATGATCTTAACGAACTTTTCCACCCTAAACGATTCTTTGATTCTATTCTACGTTACTATCTGCTAGACTGAACTTTCTCTTTGTCTGCTATGTAGCCTATGTCTGGAAGGAGCTGTTTCATTCAGAGCAGGAAGTTAATAATGCAACAATATTGCCTTCTAGGTCGTTTTACCTTCCCTGGCGTGTTTGAGGCTAGCAGTCTATGAAGAAGGAGGAAAATTTATTGGTCATCGGATATTACCAGTTTCAGCAATTCGACCAGGTAAACCTTTTTCTCCGTTGAGACAAACATTGTGTAGTAAAAAGAAACTGCAAGCCAGAATCCCAACTGCTGTAAATCAGCAGCCACTCTGCAGATTTATAGCCAGTGGCGATTTGAATAACCTATCTCAACTTTCAGAAGAAAAACACCATATTTCACCAGAAATTTAAATTTGTCATGATCCAGGAACATCAGCAGAACAAAAACATTGGAGGCATGGTTGGCACCTACTCGTCTGGAGCAGATCAACTGCATGCTCACAGGTTGATGCTAAAAAGTGCAATTGTACACCCTTACGAGGAAAGGGGGCAGCAACAGCCAATTTTGATGTCATCTTTGTGAGAATGGTAGATGGCTGGGAATGAAAGCAAAATACGCTCCTCTAATGTGATTTTTACATGCACACAAGAACTGACCTATATGCAGGCTGCTGTATCTCTGTAAAACCTTTAAATCAACCCAAAATTACTTTCATCTTCATCGCTGAAAATGTGAAAAAAAAAAATAAACCATTACTGGTCTCTTCTAAATTATATTATTGTTTCTATTAGTGGCCACTTAGCTGAAAATTGTCTTGTGTGACAACTCAGCCCTAATTTTCCAGGCTAGAGACTTGTTAGAGATCGTGTTTCAGAAAGATGCAGTGACATTGGCATTCTGAGCAGGACAAGTGTCCAACTTCAATGCCAGCTTTTCCAGTGGGGGGAGGGGAGGAAACTAAATTAGGGCAAGCATATGTGCCATGAACATGCTCCCAGTTCACTCGCAGTGGAAAAGGAGGAATATCTGTCTACCCTGGGCCTTATCTGGCCAGTCCCAGCAGTAGCACAAAACTCACACTTCCCTCTATCCAGCAGCTGTGTCCATCTTATTCCTGGAGACCTGATCTTGGGTAGTGTATGGATCAGTCCCTTTTCTCGTGGCTGGTGATGTCAGGACTCTTCTGAGAAGAGCTCCAAGCGGTTTTGAGTTAGCTGGGGTGGGTTGCAAGTGCAAACAGGCTAGCCATGGGAGGTGGCTGCTGGGCATGTCACTGCTCCAGGGTTTCCTCGCCAGTTGTCACTTCCATTTCCCTTCTCCTTCCCTTCTTTCCACCCCACTCTTGGCCATGCACACCTGGCCCTTCTGTTGAGCCAGCTCTGCCAATCTCCACATCTGTTTTGTGAGCCAGCTCAGCTTCTCAAGCCAGCAGAAAACTCTCCACTGGTTTCTGCTGGCTTAATGGCTATAATTGCTTCATGGAGGGTCTCCCAAGCTCCAGAGGAAGGTAGTTGACGGGAGAGGAGAATGGTGGGTGTGAAGGATTTCTCTCTTCTGTTGGGAGTGAGCTCTTGCCGCAACTGTTCCCCTTTCATGGCACGCACCCTTCATGCAGCACAGAGTTCATTTGTCAGAGCACTGAATCATGTACCTGCTTTTAAGCTTGTGCTTTTTAGAACAAAGGCCGCTGTGTTAAATCGTACAAGGACTTTGAAAAGCTTTTACCCGCAGGCCTATCTTCTGTCCTTTTGACTCCAGTAATCATTAGCCTGCAGCATGTGATGAGAACAGCACGTTGATTTTAGTTTGTGTACATGCTGAAAATTTGCTGGAGGAGCTTGAGGGAACTAAGAAACCTTTGTAATACATAATTTCTCTCTTTTCTGAGACGTTACTGAAAACTATATCATATCATACAAATCCACAGAATTACCATTATTCCCAAAGCAAGGATTTAAGCATTACGTGGAGAGGGAGTTGTCCACATCAGCCAAGTGAGGATCCCCCCAGATTAGTGTGTCCAGCTCGTGACTTGTGTCTTTACCCGTGTGTGTGGCTCTGTGACCGTGCTTCAGCCGTGGCGTGGGAGGCACCATGAGGCGTGGGAGGCAGCGAGTGTGCAAGCACTGAGATGCTGTGACAGTTTGCTGGGACTGAAAGTCCCTTTCTTCCACCCCTACCTGGGCACTTCCATCACTGTCTTTAAACTGGCATTAATACGTCTGACCTTACGGTGAGGCATTTTGGAGACCTGAATTCGTGGGAGACTCTTCGCAGTTTCTGAAGGTTGCTTTCTCAGGGGTTTAGCTTGCTGAGCTGCCTATCTACCCTGTCAGAAAAGTGTCACTGCACAAGAGAAGGAGCAGCAGACGGTGGTAGGTGGCGGGGAGAAAGGGTTTGGGGCTGCCCCATCCACAGTGCCTTGCCAATGAATTGTCCAAGCTGCTCTGCAGTGTGTGCCCTCACTCTGACAAGACAGCCAGCTTTCAAAACACTCTGAAAAGACTCTTTCTGTGGAAACATTTTTAAGGTTGGTCACCCAATAAGATTCATACACACATACACTTTGGAGATACATTGCCACATTGTATCTACAATGGATCTATTGATACAAAGTGTATCTTTGTAGATACACTGCCTCATCCTGCCACATCCAGGCTGGATGAAGCTTTGAGCACCCTGGTCTAGTGGAAGGTGTCCCTGCCCATGGCAGGGGGGTTGGAACTGGATGGTCTTTAAGGTCCCTTCCAACCCAAACCATTCGATGATTCTATGATTGTCTGTTTTTCAAGTTAGGTGCTGTGTTTTGGATGGACTGTTACATCTCAGCTTTACTTGGCTGCTCAGATCCCTGTGTATTACAAGGGTCACTTTTCAAACTTGAATAAGAGCTCCAAAACTGAAAAAAAAATATATCCAGCCAAAAGTAATAGAGTGCAACATTGACAAATTTTAGCATTATTTGCAGATGCAAAAATAAAGGGAAAATACTGTTGTAAACTGCAGTGTTGTGTGTCTTTCTGACAGTCCCTTGTCTGTATATTAATCTCTCAAACCCGTCAGGTGAATCTTTCCCCACCACAAGTCCCTAGGGTCGCTTGCTCAGTCGGAGCCACACTATAAATAACAAATGATAACGCAATTACCTTGGAAATGCCTGTGGAAGAGTTTATGCTCTGAACTGGTTGTTCCTTATTTTGCAGGCTATCACTACATCTGTTTGAGGAATGAGAGGAACCAACCTTTGACACTGCCAGCTCTCTTTGTGTACATAGAAGTCAAAGACTATGTACCTGATACTTATGCAGGTAATTCTGTGACACTTTCCTGCTGGGAAATACAGAGGTTAATCGAAATGGAAATGAATATATTGCGATAACGGTCCTGTGAACAAACCTCTGCATCTGATGGATCGTTATGTCTCGTCACTCCTACAAGATGGCCTGATTTACAGCAGCCTGCCTCAGGTTTAGGACTGGGGCCAACTCTTCTTTTCCGCAGACCTAAAGGAGGAAATACCGCTGGCATTTGCCACTGAAACACAAATGAAAGTTTGCGTGCGTGACACAGTGGGATGTTATTGTTTCCTAAGCAGAGGAAAGTGCTTAATGTAGAGAGCATTGTATTTTGGAATCAGCACTAAACAAGGATAGGTTTAAAGACCATACTATGCATTTCCAGTTAAAAACAGTATTCTGTATAGCTATTTTGACTTTTTTATAAAACAGTATTTTTACTAATGTTCCTGTGTGCCTCATGTGAAGCAGGATCCTTGCTGGCTGATGCTGTAAGCTGTGAGAATCCATCATAAAACACTGTGCAGAAAATGCACATCCACGAGACCCAAGCACAGACTCAAAGAGGGTTCGTGTGGGAATACTTGTGCATGATGGTGTACTCCCCATTTTCTAGGACATAGGAGTACCTATCAGCGGCAGATCTGTACAAAAAATACTGTCTCTTTCTTAAAACCTGAGAGGCACTGGAACCATCACATAAGGGGTTCGAAACTGAAGTATTTGCATTATTCCTAGATGTGATCGAGGCCTTATCCAATCCAATCAGATACGTGAACTTGATGGAGCAGAGAGCTAAGCAACTGGCCGCGCTGACTCTGGAAGATGAAGAAGAGGTAAAGAAAGAGGTACGGGAGGTTTCAGAATCTCTGCAAATTATATTACAGTATTTAAAAGCACCTACTTGGCTTAGAAAGACAAATACTGAAAGTCCCTGGGAACTGTATGTGTTGATGACTTGAACATCTCACCCAGAATGAGACGAGGATACATTAGGGCCAGGAAGCATTGTGCTGTCTGTGTGGTCTCACTGAAGGCAGCTTGGAGCAAGTTACTCTTCAGAGGTAAAGAGACACCAAAAGCTGAATGAAAAACCATGCTATGTGTATGCTGATTTGCAACTTTGTTAGGTAGTAAATGATATCTTTGTAAGGCATTGCCTGTTGGTTTCCAGTGTGACGCTGAAGTTCCCCTTACAAAAAAGACAACTTTATGTCAGTGGCTTTTCCTGAAAATATTACAAATTTTCCAGAATTTCAGGCTATGTTTCTGAAGAGGTTATTCTGTTCAGAAACATTCATGGATCTCAGATTATGATGTCTGTATACGCTCTCCATGAGCAAAAATGCCTGAAGAGACCCAGTATAATCATAAAATAATTTAGATGGGAAGGGGCCTCTGGAGGTCAACTGATCCAATGCGTCACAGATCTTAGAAAGAGAGGCAAGAGGCAGAAGACCGTAGAGTAAATAACTGTTCAGGCCTATTCTAGCTTAGCTGAAAGCTACAGGAGCCACAGTTTCAAATGCTAGGTATGTGTTTGGGTATACACAGTTACCTACAGCCTAACCTGTAAACCCTCTTTTTCTGTACAGTTGGAGGAGTTGTGCCTACAAAGGCGTAGATGTTATTCTGAGCGTACCTGAGAGTATGGCAGTTCAGCTTTGGTTTCTGATATACTCCACGCACAGGCAAATATTCAGTCCCTCTGTTCCTGACATTGTCATTGGGACATCTTTTAGCAGGGTTTAAAAACATCAGCCTTGTATTTTAAAGATTGCATGTGTCAGACGTTAGGCGTATCGTGTGAATCAGAAGGTGCTCAGTACAGGTCTCTGGCGAAGATAGAGAAAGGCTCTATAATCCTAAACTGCCCTCAGCTCTGGTGCCTGTCATCTTCAATTCTCAGATGTGCAAAGCCTCACTGAACTAGATTTTGTAACCAAGAATACATTCCCAAAGCAGACCAGATGAGTGAAAGTCATTACAATTCAGTGGCCAACAATTTACTCTTTGTGCAGTGTCACAAGTTCGGCTGAATGAGGACACTGTGAAATGCTCAACAGTATCTTAGACATTGATCTAGGACGCTCTACACATGAGATTCTATTTTAATAGCAAAGTCTTTTTTTAACATAATCCTTTAAATACCTTAGAGGTCATTTTTACTTCTGAAAAAGTACAGATTTTCCTGGTCTGTACAGGCTTATTTGGTAGAAAAATTCTGTCACGGAGTTTCTTCTAAAGCAAATGGGAAGAAATATAGATGAATTGTAGTGCTCAGGTAGTGCTACCATACGTCAAGGAGCTTGAAAGCTCACAGGATAAAGGAGCCTGTTTTGGAGTAGCAGAGAAATACTTTTCTAAAAAGAAAACTGTAATGACTGTAGTGGTGCATTTACTAAAAATGTATAGCCATTCAGTTAGATGCAGTAGCAAGGGCCAGGTACAAAATTGCTGCTTGAAGTGGCAATCTAAATACACCCTTGTTACCTTCTATTTATAAACACCCATTCTAGGTAAGATATTTGGCAGCTGGGCTGTACTTAGAAATCTTGACTTGCCTGGTCATGTTATGTGATGATGGTGTTTTCAGCAGACCTGACTGTTATGTTCATTTACGCTGGCCCAGGAGAATCACCTCGGTTTATGTTTGCAAGTACGTTCACTGGCAACACAGCTAAATAAACCCAAGTAAGTTTGCCAGATATGTACACATGAGTGCACCTGGGTTCAATTTTCCTATGTACAGTTTCAGATTTACACACTAGAAATGTTTGTGTGCGAAGCTGCGCTGTCTCCTAGCACAGACTCCACCTCCCCGCACCTCTCTCCCTCCCTTCACACACGTTTATTTATCTGAGCTGGGTTCTTGCAGCTGTCACAGGAAAACCCAGAGGGTTGGGTTTTTTTTTTTGCTGCTTAGAAGTTTAAACTGTATCTCTGTAAAAATTTCCCCAGGCTTCTTGCAAAAGTGTAGCCAAATAAGGTACCGAATAGTGAATCGGTTTGAGCAAATAAATGAGCCTTTCTTTAGGCTTCATATTACACTGCTTGTTAATTATCAGTGCAATAACATAAAGGAAGAATGCTGATGAACTGACAGAATTTTACAGCATCTTTTCTATACTTATTTGCAATGTTCCCATTGTGAGCATAACGTGGATTCCTACCTTTAGCTTTCTGGTCAGTTCTTGCTTTCCAGCCTGGCCGTAGAACAGCTATTTCTGAAATAGAACAGCTATTTCTGCAGAATGGAAGTATTGTAATACTTGCAGTGTGGGTTTTGCACCTTTAACTGTGCTTATCTGAGTACACTGGAAATCTTCATGAGTGTACAGGTAGTGAAGGTTGCCTTCTCTTCCCCTGTTCGGCATCCTTTACAGGCAGGAGGAATAAGCCATAGGCATTTGCAGCTGTGGGTACCTTAGAATGAATTAATCCCAGCCTAAACTAAACCAGATTGATGTAGCTAGTTTACACAGTTTCATCCCCACAGTCATGGGAGCAGAATTGCGTAGGGGCCTAAGAAAAGCTACCCAGAGTAAAATGCATTTTGGCTGTGCCCGCTGGTGTAATGTCCCTGGGGCTGTCTGTTAATTCCCACGGCAGTCAGGGAGTCAGGAGGCCTTGCTGGCTCCTTAATGTGTCTGACATGGAAGCAACAGAGCACTGTTCATATGTTCTATGACCTGTTCATAGAATCACAGAATGGTTTGGGTGGGAAGGGACCTTAAAGATCACCCAGTTCCAAACCCCCTGCCATGGGCAGGGACACCTTCCACTAGACCAGGTTGCTCAAAGCCACATCCAGCCTGGCCTTGAAGACATCCAGGGATGGGGCATCCACAACATCTCTGGGCAACCTGTTCCAGTGCCTCACCACCCTCTCTGTGAAGAATTTCTTCCTGATATCTAATCTAAACCTCCCTGATTTCAATTTATACCCATTACCCCTTGTCCTATCACTACAGGCTCTTGTAAAAAGTCCTCTCCCAGCACCCTTGTAGGCTCCCTTCAGATACTGGAGTTTCTACCCATAAAACAGTGCTGAAATGGAAACTACTGTTTTGCATGCCTGCATATAAATCGAATGTGTGTAATCAGTTGGCTACTTTGGTTAAATAAAATGAATTTGGCAGGAAACGTAAGCAAAAGATTCTCTAGGACAGCAGCTGCACTTAGAGTATCAGATACCACTATCTAAAATGCCAATTTATGCATAATTTTTGGAATTATAATGTTACAGTAATGGAAATTAAGTTGACCTGACACTTCTTACAGGGAGACCTTGCCTACGCTTGCTTATACTTTGCCAAGAAGGACAGAGGCAAACTGACTTCAGAACTGCCCACCTGGGCCCACAACACAGCCCCAACATCCTCAGTGCCAGAGATTTCCCAACCCCAACATACTGCAACTCCTTTTCTCTGTAAAAACAAACATAAACCATATAGATATGTCCCTGTATGCCTGAGTATCTTTCTATTTAGTAGACGTACTGTCTTGCAAAAGACATGGCAACATGTGGAATATAAACCACTTTCTCTGAATAGTAAAACTATAAATTACAAGGCTGGATTACATCATGTTTTAAAAAGAGCCTAAAATATTCTCCACTGAGGGAAAATCATGTTTACTCTAGCATTCTGTGTGGTGAATTATGAGAAGAGAAAGTGCTTTTTAATGAGATTAGATTGCTTGATGCAGTGAAAATTACTCTTTATTCACTTCCTGATCCTGTCTCACATTTCTGCTTTAGTTACTGCAAACAGATGTTTTCTGTCCAAAACTGACAGCCTTATTAATAGCTTCTCAACAAGCTGTGATGCACCACATACAAACCTAGTCCTCAAAAAATAAGATAATACCCAGTTTCTCGTGCAGTGACTTTTGGGGCACAAACTTGCCATAATTTAGGAATTCCAGCTTTTTTTGTATTAAATGTTGATGGTCTATACAGCAAGCATTATTTTATTAATGAATTGCATCCTGTGAGGAGTTTATTTTAAGGAAAATTGAGGGGATAACCACGTCTCTGTTTGTCACAGCTACAGCTTTTGCCAGTCACGTTGTTCTACTGCCATAAGATCGTGTTTTTCCTTATTTTATTTCAGTCGTTCCTGCTTGATATAAATGGAGTTGTTGGCATAGGTTTTCAATCGCATCATGTGTCTGACTACAGTAGCACTCTCCTATAATTTTGGTAGGAAAAGGTTGTTGAGCCAGAAATCCTTTTGCAATATACAGTATGTTGTCAGGGCCAAGGTGAAGGAAATCAGCAGCAGGAGCAGCACAACACAGATCAAAATGTGTGTTGCCTCGATGCAGTGCAGGCTGATATTTTGCAAGTGTGGAGTAATCAAGGGGAAAAAAACCCAGCAACTGTGGTATCCTGGCTCTGTATGTAATGTGATTACCCTCAAAGGGTAAAATGGAAGCAGCTGAAGGAACAAATCCAAAACTACCCCGAGACGCCATGGCAACTGGCCCCTCGCAGGGACAGCGGGAAGCGAGGCTTGGCCATATCAAAATAAGAATTGCTTTGAATGACCTTCTGTTGCTGAGTGCTTGCTTAAAACCTGATGGTCACAAGGAAAATTATGAGATGTTCAGTGCATGGCACGACATACGCTGTAAGCCTGAGCCTTTAGGAGACTGGAGAGAAAGAAAAGATTGTGGAAAATGCTTAAATATTTGGATACCACAGATGTATTTATGCAGCAGGATGGAGGTACTGTTTACATATTATCCTTGGAGTGTGGTTACAAGAATGTAAGATCTTGGGAATCAGAAATATGTCTCTCCTCTGTAAGAACGGTGAATAATGATAGTGCTGTGTGTATCTATGAAATTTAAAAGTAATTTTGTGTACGCATTTTATTCACAGCAGGGATTTCAGTACGATTTTCATGCCAGCTTCTACATTATTTCTAGAAAGGTTTTATGGCAGAGAGCAACGCTTTTCAATAAAATACAGATTTCACATCTGGTGCAGCTAATATATACTGTACTGAAAGACGTCCCTGATGAGTTATATGCACTTAAAATAAAAATACTTTTTCAGAATAATACATGCTCTTATTTCTTCCTGAAATTTACCCTACAAAAATGAACCACCTGGATTACCATGGCTCTTAACGGTATCTTATTGTTTGTTTTCTTTTAGAATGATTTATATATAACACTTACAGAATTTTACATTTTAAAAGAGGCTGAACTAGACCTGCAAGAAAATAATTTTAAGTCTGTTCGTTGGGAAGAATAATGTAAAACATTATGTGTTTTCAGATTGACCATGGGGATGCAGCACCCGAAGCTAACAATGAACCTAGGCCAACACCAGCAGAGAATGGAGTAAATTACACTGCCTCTCTTACACCGAAACCAGCAACTCAGGTTGTCCATAGCCAACCAGCACCAGGTAAAATAAAAATAAATAAATAAACCAGGAAAAAAAAAAAAACCACACACAAAGGAAAACAAAAAAAACCCCATATTTTCAAAAATAAATCTGGATATTAATTCTTCATGTAATTTGCATTTAAATAACCAAGGGAGTGGGGGGCCGTGCATGTTGTTCATTTTGTTTTTATAAAATAGGTTAGGCAGAAATCTTCCCACTACTTTAGTCTGCTGCTAGGGCCTGTCTTCTTCAGCAAGTATCTTCTACTTACCAGGCGCTTTTGTGGTGCAACTGAATTTCTTTACAGGCAAGGAAATACACTGGGTTTATTTCTTCTTCTCATTGTTGCAAGTGCAGAAATCTCTTTAAACTGTTTTTATAAATATGCCTATTTTATGCATGTAGTTATATCTTACTCCCCACACAAAGTATAGTCGTAGATACTTACATATTTTGTAGTGACATGTCTCCTATAACAAATGCTTGTTAAACCAGTGTTTATAATTTTATGACTGCGGTCTTCATAGGCTTGATCTAATTGACTTCCAAGGAGCTGGATTCACCCTGTGTACAGAAATTTTGCACTGAGATCATAACACAGGGCAGTTGCACTCACTGTCAGCCTAATACCACTTCAGTGACTCATGGGAGTGGTATCAGACAGTTCTATAACATCCTCCTCATGAGCAAAACAACAAAGCTAAGGTAGGTTTTGGGAGCCTTTTCATGATGGTTCACAGGGTTGGTGGTGTTTTCCACGGTGCTACTCTTCCACGCAAGAGGTGTGTTTTCTCAAATGCCGTGTGGGTGTGTGTCCTGTGTCACCTGACATGTTTTAATAGGCAATCAAGCAGCAGAGTAATGGCTGTTACTTTAAAGAAACTAGAATCAGTCATCTCTCTTACCTCTAGGTTCGGTGAAAGCACCTGCAAAGACAGAAGATCTTATTCAGAGTGTCCTCACAGGTAATAATCCTACGGTTTACACTGCATGAATGATACACTCTTTTTTTGTCAAGAGAAACATATTTTTTCATGAAATAGGCCATCTGCCTCAGACATTTCTTTGAGTGATTAGGACTGCAGTAATTCATAGTAAATGTACATACCATGTTTTCTTCCTCAGCTTTGAAGTTATTAAATGTTTGAGCATATGTTTCATGAGACTGGTCTTGGGTGCCAACAAGGAATTTTTTTAAAATGTTATATTTTTATAGTTTCACACACATTACCATCTAATGCAGACACAAGGCCAGCGTTATTATGAGAACAAAAGCTAAATTTGCTCTGAATATTGTGAATAGTAGTGAAACCATTTTATCTCCATTAGCCTTGCAGTGTTCCCATTGCTCCTACAAAATTGTAATTACCATTATGTCAAGCAAACTGGTTTGTCAGTGCCCTGCTGTCAGGAGTCATGTCCTCCAGCCTGGACTTGTGGTTCAGATTGCAAATCTCATAACTCAGTTTGGTTTATAGTCATTCTCCTACATTAGAACCCACTCCACATGTCCAAATCATATGTAGGCCAACAATTAGGTATGGAAACCAGGTAAGACACGTGAAATTCTGCATGTTGGTTGCCCCTTACTCAGTCTCCCTTACGTGTGGTAGAAAGAGGCTGGCCTAGATTGTGGAAGTACCTGCTGGTCTCATACAATCTGTTGTCTGGGAAGGGGTCTGCAGTCTGGCTTTCCCGGAGCTGTGACCCCAGACCATGCAAGTCATCGTTCCCTTCGGCGCTTTGTGACTTTTTTTAATTGCTGATTCAGGGTGAGCTTGTGGAGGTCAGGCTAGCAGACCCTGAGCTTGAGCTGTGATCTGGGTTCACAGAGCATCCTTCATAGCTGCTGTTGGAGGGAGAGCACTGGTGGGCAGTTCTCAGCCTTTAGCTACTCATCCTTTGCTGGACCAGGTGTCTATGACTCCACTGATGCAGGGTCTCCATCAAGAGAGATGGGAAGTCTCCCAAAACGCTGTGATGATCCCAGGAGAGATGCTTCCAGCCACTGCCCAGGTCAAGGCAGGAGGGCAGGCAGCTAAAGCGCTGTCTGTGAAGGGGGTTTAGGCATCAGCATGTTAGGTAGCCCATCCAGTGGGAAGGGAGACTTGAAGTGTCGGTACAGTGGGTACAAAATGACCTGTGGTCATATCTATGTAAGATCATGTTTTTATATGTTGGGCTGATGGGAATATTTTGCATCTGAACGGGGTTGAGGAAAGGAAGTACGTGGTTTTTATTTTGCTACACATCTTGGTGTTCTAAATTTTCATTTCACTTCTTCCTCATATCAATTAAATTTGCTATAGTATTTTCAATCTGGTTAGCCTGTTTCCAGATAAGTCTGCTCTGTGCTAGTTTAAGCTGGCACGTTTCACTTGGCAGCACCAAACAAGCATGCTTTGTTTCATTCCTG